GAGCGGGCGCGCCTTTGTCCGTCGGCCAGGGCTGCGGAGGGGCGCCCGGCAGCGGCCGCGGGGCGGCCGGCATCACCCCACAGCCTCACCTCCGGGCTCAACCAATCGGCGGGCAGCCCAGCGGCCCGGCTCCGCCGCCCCCTGCCAATCAGCGAGCCTCGGCAGCAGCCAATCGAAAACAACAGTTCCCCCCGCCACGCCCCCGTATCAGCCGGCTGGCGCGGGGCTGGTCACAGGCCAGTTGGCTGGAAGAGCTGCCGTGGGTCACGTGGGGCAAAACGGCTTGGGGACGGGACGGGGGGGTGTGTGTGTTGAGCGCGTTGCCGTGGCAACGGATCAACCAATAGCCCGAGGCGGGGGCGGGCCGCCGCCTTCGGCGCCTGCGCGGTGGCGGGGTAAGCCCGCGGCCGCGGCCCGGAAGGGGACGGGGCGGTTTCGCTGAGGTGTCCGGGGCTGGGCCTCGCCCGCGGCTGGCGGGGACGGGAGAACCCCGACGAACGGGGCCGTCCTCAGCCGTACCGGCCGCCTCCGTGCTCCCGCAGGCTCTCTGGTCCGTGGGGCTGCTTCGGGTTTCTGCCCAGGCCGCGGCCCGGAGGGAAGGAGGCCCGGTGGCCTGGGCACCGGGTGGCAACCGGACTGCCTGAGGGAGGGGAGCTCGGCCAGCGGCACCGGCGCTGGCAAAGCCTTGGGGTTAAGCGGAGATACGGGCTGGTGTCAAAATCACGATCTGTTCGCAGATAATTCATTGCGAAAGCAAGCACACGCAAACAAAAATGATCGCACCAGGCCGGAAAAGCGGCCGCAACATGTATTTGCGTCTTTATGTAGGCATAGTGCGTCGTTAATGCACCGTTAACAGTATCGTGGCCTTTAATTGAAATGCCGTGTGTGCTGAACATGCAATACATTGGAAAAAGCGATAGATCTTTAGGAACAAGAGGAATTCGTTTATTGTCCAACTTCCCTGTCCAAATTAACAAAAATATTAAAACACCTGAACAAATTTAAAACTGAAGGCTTTACCTGTGGTTAGAACATAGTGGCTGGGGAGGAGAAAAAGTTGACAGAAACAACCCAACTTGAAGCTGCAAATGGGGGAAGTATGCGGTTGTAGCAAAAGCACCAGACGAGGAAGAGCTGTGCCTTAAGTGCGATGATATACAAATTACGACCTGAGCATAAAGTAAATTTCGCCCCTACTTGCCCTCTTTGTTCCGCAAAATGTAGAGCCACACGGTCTGCTTCCAGCTTCGGCTGTAAATGTTGCCTCATTTTTAGCATAGTGCTAATACAGTGCTGTAGCCTGTGCAGGCATGTGTCTAACCCATTAGGCTGAGATAGATCATACTCAAGTCAAACTTCACAGCATAAGGCAATAGGCTTTTTTTTTTAAACTTCCTTATGTTCTGATCGATTTTGATATGCAGTGTAAATGTCTCTGGTACGTATAATGTATATCATTAACACAAGCCTGAGTAGGTTTGATTGCTCTTTGGTTAGAGTGAAGTAAAGAAGCACGTATTTCTAACTCCAGTGGTATGTAATTGTGGTGGCTGTGCACACGAGAAAAAGAAACGGCACTTTTCTTTTTCCCCTCCTGTTAAGAAAAGATGATCCCATATGTGGCACAAACTTTAACGTGCAAGTGGCATTTCTTTAAAGTATTTCCTCTTCAGAACGATCTGATTATTGTGGCCACGCAGTGCCTGGAAGGGGAATCAGCTGGAAACGCCTTGTCTCGTGTCCTGAGCAATGAAGAAGCTTGCATGTTTGCTATCTGGCAGTCCAAGAAGGTGTAAACGCTTTCCTTTGCCCAGCACAGGGTTCTGGATAAGGAAACCAAAATGACAATATGCAACAGTAGTCTTTACCCAGCACCGCAAGTGCAAGCCCAGCAGTGTGGGGGTAAAGACACCTTTCCGCTTGAATAGATTTGGTACCGCTATGCAGGAAAGGAGGAGTCACATATAAATTACTGTATTAGCTGAAAACTTTTAATTTTCCCTGAAGTGAATGAGAGCTGGTGGTGTTCAGCCCTTTCTGGACGGGGGCCTTCTTTCTGTGGCCAAATCCTGAAGAAGAACGCGGATGAACTATCGCTATTGCTATTTAGCTATTACTGTTACTGATCTATTACTATTATTAAATAGTTAACTCAGCTGTACATTGGTATTTAGCCATAGTAGCACTAAGGTTAGTGCTACAAAGGCTAGCTATAGTAACAGTGCTGCTAGTGGCCTGTCTCCTCCAGCAACGTGAGCAGCTGTGCAGTATTTTTCAAGAAAAGACAGATGATTCTGTTAACTTGCGTGGGTTTTCATACCATTTGCAAGGCCTGTTTTAATTCTCTCTTCAGTGGCAACAGGATAACAAACCGTCTTTGTTAACAGTTTTCCCAGGATGCATGCTGGCACAAAATAGGTGCCACTGGCACGTCGCAGACCAGCGATGGCTACACTTTGGCCGTTAGGAAGTTGTTCTGCTGCACAGTGTTTCCAAAATAAGATGAGATCTTGTGTAGGCGAAAAGTGATAAATATGTGCAAATATTTAATGTTGCATTCTGCAGCCTGGGAACACCATTTGGGCCGGCCTTGTAAGAGCAACATCTCTTGGGAATTTCACTTCCTCTCGTAATCTGTTGTCGATGTGACATGGCAGATTAGAGTTCAGCCTTGGAAACTGCGAGTCGTTTCCTTCTATTCGTATTTGACATACATTTTTGCTCAAACTTGTGAACTGCTTCCATCATTTTGGGTAGCAGTACAGATGCACACATTTAGCACTTCTCTCTTCTCCTTTTTCTTTCTGAAATGGAGTCCAGTTGTACCAAACTCTGAACCGAGGAAACCTGTCATTTCTCATCCAGAAGGAATGTATGTAAATTTATCGTCTTAATTGATGCCTCTCCATGAGTTTCATATAATCAGCCCTTGTAGCTTAACGTGCTAATGATCAGGGTAAGTAGAAATCTAATATGTTAAAGGAATGCAGACCAATTTGTCTGAGTCCTGCTGACATCTGCAGTATAACTTTTGCAAAGATTTACTCATCTCTCTTCTGTCTTTCACTTAGCTGCCTTTTACTCCTGTTTCTGTTGGTCCTCTGCGAGCAGAGTGATTCTCCAAAGCAGACAGAAACCTCTGGGAAGGCATGCAGAGGGGTCAGGAAGAGGACATTTGGAGAAGGGAGCGGCAATCCTAAATCCCCTTTCCCTCTGGCACACATGCAAATCTGGGCGAGACTGCACATTGCCAGAAGCGGCGGCACAACAAGGGCTCCACGGCGTCGCGTCTCGGTGCAGAGGAGCAGTGTTTTGCGTGCATGGCAAAAAGCAGGAGCTCTGCTGGGAGCAGTGCTGGGGGGGGCGGGGGGCGGGCAGCCATCTCAGGCAGCTCCCGTGAAGCCCCTCCAAGTCGCCTGGCTCTGCAGGTTGCAGCTGGGTCTCTCCAGGCCCACCAAGTCCTCGCGTCCTCAGAAGCATTCCTGGAGATCATTCCAAAATGAGCTTTGATCTCTTTGCCAGTCACTGTGTATTTGCAGGGCCTGGGATCCCTCCCAAGCGGTGCTCAGCTAGCACCAGGAGGTCAAAATGGGCTGAACCCTGCTGCATAAAGGAGCCGGTGGGATAAATGCTGCCATGGCGTTGTTCACACGGCGTGTGGGTAGCATCCCTCTCCCCTACCTTTGGCCAGCCTCATCCGTTTCCCCTGGAAGCTGGTTGGAGCAGGCACTGTGGTGTGCAGTGCCCAGGACAGCAGCGGCCCTTTCCAAATGGCTCCTTAGTGCTGCCATAATAAGCCTGATAAATAAAACATGGCTTGCAGACACGGATTTACTGGAGAGGGCTAAGGGGGCTGTAGCTCCCTCATTAGTATCTCCCGGTGCAGCATGTGTGCTCCTCATTATGTGGCACAGTGGCAGTTGTCTAGTCATCCACGATGAGGCTGCAGCCACTCCAAGGATGCGCCAGGGATCCCAGGGAGCTTTTTTTTTTCTCCTGTGTTAATAATAGGAATTTACAAGAAAAAAAAAAAAGACCTTGAATATGAAAAGGATGAAGGGGGAAAGACTGCAGCGCTGAGTCTGATTTCCTCTCCCTTGCGTCTCTGTAAGTCAGCAGCAAACGCAGAGAAATCCATATAGCTGTGCTAATATGGAATTGGCGTGAGTAGGATCAAGACCTCTGGACTGCACAAACTCTTATTTTGGGCAGCTTTGTTTCTCTTCAGTCTAAAATGCTGCTTGTAAACTCTTGGCCGAAGTATAAACTTCATCCTCTCCCTCCCATTTTTCTTCTTCTGTTTAAGGGAAAAAAATCAGTTTGGCCGATTTCAAGTCCCTCAAAGCTGGGGAGTCGGGAATCTGGGTTAATCTGAAAAAGGTTTGTGGAGGTTTGATCCAGTTTTTCTTTCTGGCCATCATTTAAATCCCTCCTACCTCTCTCATACAAGCTGCAACTGCATCGTCGCAGTAACCCTGTGACCGAGAGGCATGAGAGTCTCCTCTGAGACTGTAATCTCACTCTAAACAGCTCTCTGGCGGGTGCTCGTGAGTGGCGATACATCATGCAATTTTCTCCTTTAGAGGCTCGCGGTGTCATCTCCACCGTGATCCCTGCCCTGCCTGGTCAGTGGTGGTAAGCCAGAGCCCGGGGCCGGCCTGGGAGCGGGTTCCTGGCCCAGCACCGCATGGCTGGGGCACATGCGGGGTCAGGAACAGCGTTAGCAAAATCAGCCCCTTCCTCTGTGCCGCCCTGCCCACGCTTTGGC